AACAGAACTGTATTTGCATTGTCTCGTGGAGTTCTTTGGGCTGAACCTGACAAACAGGGAGGTATCAAGACCTTGGATCAGGTCACTCTTAAGTGGCCTCTTGCTGTTTGTTGATCCCAGAAAACTCCCCAGTTTTCTGAGGACCTCTGGGAAATGAAATGTTAGAAGAGACACCTAGAGTACCATTGAAGGAACCTGAAGAATAAACCTGAATGAGCCCATACTAGGAGTAAAAGCACGGTGATAAAAGTAATGAAACATAATTATTTCTCTGCTGTTACTGCATCCACAGATGCAGCCCTTTTCAGGTGAACCATTCTTTGTTAGGCAGGAATGAACAACAGGATCATCTAATAGGCCACTATGAAGAATATTCTAGGCATCTGGTGGATGAAGTTGTTTGGATATACTCAGAGTTGAACCCTGCTGTTTCAACATCTACCTGAAGCTGTTGGGTGAAGTCATCCATCAGTCTGGGGTTAGATATCATCAGTATGTTGATGATACTTAGCTGTCTCATCTTGACCTTGGACCAGCCAAGTGATGCTGTCAACCTCTTGTCCCAGTGCCTAGATGCAGTAGGAGCCTGGATGGGGAGGAAAAGATTCAAGCTAACCTCAGCAAGACCTAGTGACTGTGGGTTCTTGGGCCACCTCGCTTGGGGGATTTTTATTCCTGAATGGGACTACACTTACCCATTTGGGACTGGTGTGCAATCTGGGAGTCTTCCTGGACTCTCAGCTCCTATTCAAGGAACAGATGGCAGCTGTGGCCAGGAAGGCCTTTGCAGAGATCCATCTTGTGTACCAGCTGCACCCATTCCTAGATCAGAAGACCCTGCTTACAGTCATGCATGCCTTAGTCATCTCACATGTGGACTACTGCAATACACACTACATGAGACTATTCCTGGGGACCACTCAGAAACAACAGTTAGTCCAAAATGCAACACTGGGAGCAGTTATGGGCAGATCTCATAATGCCCATGTAATACCTCTGTTCTGCAAGCTGCATTGGTTACCAATAGGTTTTAGATGCAATTCAAGGTACTGTTATAAAGTCATACATAGCATAGGGGGTACTTATCTGTGGGAGCATCAATCTCCCATGGCCTCTATCCATCCTATACAATTAGACAGAGTTGGTTCTGGGTCTCATCAATGAAACGGTGTCTTCTAGCAGGACCCAGAAAGCGTGAGTACTCTGTTGTAGCACCTGCCTTCTTGAACAGCATTCCCTCAGAGATTTAAACTGCACCTACCCTCCCTCTCTTTAAACAAGCTTTGGACCCCTGGATCTTGCCCCAATCCCTGGAATAGGATGGTTGATGGGCCCCTTTCCATTGGGCACTGTATGGGAAAGAGGGTTTTTATTGTTCCCTTTGGGCAACTATCAACTTTTAAGATACTGTGATATTTCTTTTTTAATTTGTAAGGTAGCCAGGTCATTCTGGAGTCGGGCAGCCCTAGAAATGTGTTTTACAAATGAATTATAAATGTATAAATTGATTCTGTACAGGTTTGTTTTTAACCAATGAAAACAAAGCAAGATCTTTTATCTCAGAAAAATGATTCAAAGGTAAATTAAGTGCATAAAACCCCAGAAAACACATGTTCCAAAACCCTTTTTGACATTATATTTCAAAAACTGTAAATATGTCCGTAACATTCAAATATTTTTTAATATACAGCAAGACTTAATATTCCTTCTTTTTTAAAGGCTTTATTACTCCATATCTAAAGTCTAGTTATGGAGTAAAGGAAGGCATAGGAAAAAATGTCTTCCCCTTCACTTTTTCCTGGGATATTTTTTCATTTTTGTAGAGAAAAAAAGTGTATTTATAAGAAAATACTGGAAATAATTCCTATGAAATATTTTGTCATTTGGATCATTAAAATGTTTAAATTTAGAGCATGAAGATTTTTATGCAAGTCATTCTAAATAAAGAATATTCCTGATCATGGACTTCAATTTCACCCATTGAAACTGAATCCTGGAAGATTAAGGTCCACAAAAGGATTTTCTTTTACACAAGGCATAATTAAACTTTGGAATTCACTACCATGAGATGCAGTGCTGGCTACCAGCTGGGCTGGTTTCAAAAAAGGGTTGGACCAATTCATGGGAGGCATGAGGATCAATGCCTATTAGCCTTGTTGGCAGTGTGACTGCCTCTGAAGGCCACGTGCTGGGAGACTAGTGGGCTTCCTTGTGCAGTTGGTTGGTCACTGTGAGAACAGACTACTGGACTAGATAGGCCAGGGGTACAATCCAGCAGTGGACTGCTTATGTTTACATATTATATTCTTAATATGTAAATCAAACTGTTTAGTTTGCCAACAGACACAATTCTCGTTGGTGGAAACTAGAAAAAGGATGCTGGGGCTTCAAAATCTGCCCTGGAGAGCTTCACAATACCGGAACAATTTTTTAAATGTCATAGGAAGTTGCAGAGAGAAATAGTTCAAGCCCACTCAGAACACACTAGATTTCACCAAATATTTCAAGTGTTACAAAGTTTATTCATAACAGGTCTGCTAGCTCTTAATGTTGTTCTAAAACTAGACTTGTTTTGTTGAAATAATATTTCTTACTAAGAAAATTGTTTTTTTTTATTTTAAAGCTTTATCTCTCAAATGGCAATAATTAAAATATATTTTTATAACATCTTCTAGTATTAGCAATTTTGCTTATATGCAAGTAAGCTACAAACCTACACCCATTTATACAGAAATAGGTTCTGCTAATAAAGCAGATCTCAATTCTTTTATGTAAGCTACATTGGAAGAATTTATTGTAAAACTTGTCTTACAAATATTCAAAGAAAACTGCTCAATTACACAAAATACCAATGTCTAATTTTATATACAAATTATACACATGCACATATATATTAATAGTACAATAAATTTAAATTTGATAAATGTGTGCTGCACATATTCCAAATTCTTCCACAAACCACACTCCCTCCCTTTTCCTCATAAAATAATTCAGAGTAAATATTTTCTGTCAACATCTTCAAAAACTGCAGAAATGTTATATTCTAAAACTGCAAAGGACTCGTCCAAAGCAGTCACTGCAGGGTCAGTAACGACTGAGTGCAGATTAAAAAAAAAAAAAAAAAAGAATAAAAAAGACGGGAGGGAAAATAAAAAAAAAAAAAGGGGAG